TTTGGAGGCCGGTCATCTGTATGCGCTCGTACCAGACCTCTCATATGCCCGGCATAGGCCTGCAGCTGCTCGCCCTGGGCCCTTATCTGTTCCCTCATCTACTCGCCCTGGACCTCACGCTGACCCTTTAGGGTTGTCACTTCCTCCTTCAATGAATCGACCTCTGCGATGATCTGACGGAAACATCTAAGTAATCAATTGATTCAATGATCTGACAGAAACAATATGTGGTAGGTAGCAGTTAATTGAAGAGAAAACATCTAAGTAATCAATTGCTTTAGTGAATCTTCTATAGTATGGTTGCACTAAATATGCACATGCATAGAATCTGATGTTAGCAACTCCTCTGACCATATGATTTTTTCGAAATGTTAAATATCAAGGTTTTCAGATAATAGTGTTACGGTGCTCTTGATGCCATGGTGTTCTACTTTTATGTTGCTGATGGTGGTTCAACAGACTAATCAACACGTCCCAAACCCTCGATTAATCAACATATACCTAAGCAGCGATTAATTAACATTTCTATGTCCATACAGATTACAGAGAAGCATCCGAGCTTGTCTGTAATCTGTATGGACACAGAAATGTTGGACTCTCTTGACATGAACACAAAAACGACTTGTTTAATAAGGCTCTACAAGTACGGATAATGTATATTTAGATTGAGCAAGTAACAAATTATATGCAACAACCTTATGAACAACCCTGATCACAAATTTGAATACAATGAACCAATTTGATCGTCAATTTAAAATATTTACACAAGTAGATACCACAAGAAAAGCAAAAGGAGGAAAAAAAAAAACACTTTGCGCGACGTTGGTACACCTGCGTCCCGCAAAACAGCTTTGCGTGACACAGGTGCACCTACGTTGTGCAAAGTGCTTTTTTTTTTTTTTGCCTTTTGCTTCTCTTTTGCCCTTTTGCTAATAAGTACAAAATAAATAAATTAAAATCTACTTACTAAATATGTATACCATTGAACTTGATGGGAAATGTATTGTACGAAATTAGTTTCAACGATCAAACCGTCAAACTTGTTTGTATATACTTTGAGATCACATACGTCAAAAATATCAAAAAACAAACATTCAGAGATCAAGTAACGGGGCAAAACTTTTCGATGGTTATAAACTAAAAATCACGATTTAACGGTTGTTTTAACTCCGATTTTGATGAATTTTTAAAGCTACACTCCTTGACCCTATATGAATACAATGAACTAATTCGATCTTTAATTTAAAATATTTACACTAGTGGATACCACAAAATCTTATGTTATACTTGATGAAAGTATTTAATAAAAGGAAAACTAATGAAAAGGGCTTGAAAACTTTGAGTTTTAATGATAAGAACAAAATAAAGGGTAAAGTGAATAGTACCAGTTTTGACTTTTTAGTGTAAAAATATGGTTTTTCGTTAAGGTGAACAGTACCGTGGGCTTTTCGTTAAAACTCCCTTAAATAAACTCTAAGTGTTAGTGAATGTACCGTTTTGATGGGAAACGCATTGTACGAAACTAGTTTCAACGATCCAACCATCAAAATTGTTTGCATATGCTTCGAGATTGCGTACGCCAAAAATACAAAAAAACAAACATTCAGAGATCAAGTAACGAGACAAAACTTTTCGACGGTTATAAACGAAAAAGCACGATTTAACGATAGTTTTAACTCCGATTTTGTTGATTTTTTAGAGCTACACTCTTTAACCCTATATGAATTCAATGAACCAATTTGATCGTCAATTTAAAACATTTACACAAGTAGATACCACAAAAGAAAAAGGTAATGCAAGAACCCCAAAAGAAAAAGCAAAAGGAGAAAAAAAAAAACACTTTGGGCGACGTAGGTACACCAACGTTGCCCAAAAAAGCTTTGCGCGACGCAGGTGTACCTACGTCGCGCAAAATGTTTTTTTTATTTTTTATTTTTTCCGTTTTGCTTTTCTTTTGCCCTTTTGCTTATAAGTACAAAATAAATAAATTAAAATCTACTTACTAAATATATATACCAATGAACTTGATGGGAAACACATTGTACGAAATTAGTTTCAACGATCAAATCGTCAAACTTGTTTGTATATACTTCGAGATCACATACGTAAAAAATCTCAAAAAAAAAACATTCAGAGATCAAGTAACAGGACAAAAAATTTCGACGGTTATAAACGAAAAATCACGATTTAATGGTAGTTTTAACTCTAATTTTGATGATTTTTTAGAGCTACACTCATTGACCCTATATGAATACAATGAAATGATTTGATCATTAATTTAAAATATTTACACAAGTGAATACCACAAAATCTAATATTTAGAGCTGTAAACTGGCTTCTTCTCTTGGTTTTGCTTCAAAATCTTGCGCGATGTAGCCAAAGTAGTGCAAAGCTATTTTCGCGCAAAACAGCTTTGTGCGACGCATACCTTCGTCGCGCAAGCGTCGCGCAAACATGTTTTTGTACTAGTGTAATGAGGTTCTAAACGCCGGTTCCTAACACAACACCGTTTAAACGTGGAAAAAAACACCCTGGTCAAAGGCTCTAAACCCGTTTTGCTTTATATTTGCAATATCACTCTCTTGCTTCATCTTTCACTTGAGAAGACGACTCATTCTGTAACATGTAAAATAATTTCTTATCGATTTTCCTTCTCTTTTATTTTTTCTTCTTCTTGATTTTTCTTGTTTCGGACACTTTCATTTTTCTTGTTAAAACTTGATTGTATGTTTTAATTTGATTACCATTGCAAACCAACCATGGGGAAGCAAATATTGGCCGAGTCGATCAAACTTGCTGACCAAGTTACAAAGGCGCTGGACAGGGCAATTGTCAGTTCCACGGCGAAAGAGTTGATCCCCGAGCTCAAATCCAAGACTCAAAACCTGGCGGGGCTTCTCCGCCAACTCAGCATATGTGACCTCTCCGATTCCTTCCACGGTTCCTATGACGTCGCAGTACGGCGGATCCTGATCAGCGTCATCGAACGTAAGAGACTACAAGGCATGTGAGGCTGCCATAGAAGCATGCATTGCTCTTAAAAATTTTGCATGCAGAGACAACGATTCTCACGTTGACCATTCTAGGGCAATATTAGGTGCTGGAGTTGCAAAGCACTTAATCCAGTTTGTATATTTTGGGGAACGTATAATTCAGTTTCCTGCTTTGTTTCTCATGTGCTACATTACGCTGCACGTACTACCAGACAGATGTGAAGAACTCGCCACGGTCGAGTGCTCATCATGCTTCACTGGACATCTAGAAAATCTCATATTATTCGAGATAAACTGTTAAACACGTTGTTGCACGAGGCTAAAACTAAGTTAAATCTTTACTGGTCGGGAGATCAAGGCTCCATTTGATATTATCATTTTCTTGAATTTTACATATCATGTCATTTGTAAGTTCCTCAGTCAAATGAAGATCCAATTACTTGATATGTTTTTCTTTCTCCCAACCAATTTATTAATGTTGTTTGAGGGGATTGTTGTTGTCAAGACCACAAATTGATCATGAAAGGAAAGATGAGATGCTATGTTAATAAGTAACTGCAATATAAACCAACCACAAGGCAACGACCTAGTTATTATTCTTTCCATAATTTCTTTCGAATTTTGACACGTACATTTTGTTATTTATCAATTCAGTACAATCATAGTAAGATGTTGGAGAAAGCTGAAAATTTTTACCTTTAATTTTTTTCTGATGTAGGAAAAGATTGGGATGAGTTTTGGAAAAGTAAAGAAAAGGAAGCGCTTTAATTAAAGTTGACAAGGCAAAATGATACAACGGGAATTTACAGGGATTTGGGGTCCAATCTTTGTTTTGGGCGCATAATACTTTCCGGAAAAGAACGTGACCTCCCCTTTCAAACTTATTGTTATTCTATGACCATGATAGATTTTAGCCAACCGATATCGTGTAGGCCTTCAAAAATGTGTTTTAAAATTTGTAATAAATTTCAGACTTTTCAATTTCCATTTGAATTCATGTCGTATAATTTCTGAAAACCCCTGAGCTTCGTCAACGCCTGCGTCGTTTCCAAAGAGCATTGCTCTAGAAGAAGAAGAAAGATGAACATACGTGATCAATCATCTTCTCCGTTGTTGCTTTGTGTCTCTCTTTCGTTTCCTTTGTACTTAACAAGTGTTAACCATTGTTCCACAACCAGTCAGTTTAAATTGAATGTTGACGGGACTTGGATGGAGGAGCTTAAATGGTGGTGTCGGTGCTATTATGATATTATCAAAGATCCCAACCACAGCTTTATTGGTACTATGTAAAAAAATCGGTTTTATTTGAACTCATGCTTTGTATCTCTACCCCCAACTTACTCTTTATGCTCGTATTCTATTTGTTTTAACCACCGTAGTATCTCTACAGCCAACATTAATTCCTAAACTGCCCTCACTAAACACCATTTAGTTTTTTAAACATCTCTTTGCACCCTAATATCAAATTTATTAAAGTAAAATAAAATAGATAGTTAAAAAAATAAGAAAAATTAATGAAAAGAACTTGAAAACTTTGAGTTTTAACGAAAATGACAAAATAAATGGTAAAATAAATAATACCAAAATTGACTTTTTAGTGTAAAAATATGATTTTTTGTTAAAATGAACAGTACCAGATGTTTTTTGTTAAAGTTCCCTAAAAAATACCCACAAATAAAACGCCAAAAGAGCCATCGGAGAAATTCGCCCTCCCAACCAACCACTTCATCTCTGTCAGGAAAGAGAAATATAACAAGAAGAGTTACAAGTGCCCATCTCTAAAGAACATGTCTACAATATAATGTCATGGCAAGGTTACTCCGCCGATGCAGCAGCTCTCCGCTCGCGGTTCCTACCACCCCTGCCCCACACGTCCGATCGTCAACGACATTGAACAAGTACAGATCTCTGTTCCTTACTCAACCCTATGAAATTGGACAATTGGTATGCCTTCCCAAACATCCTTTTAGTAATGGAAGGAAAACGCTTAACAGCAACATTTTGAAGAAAAACAACCCCTCCACTAACTGTTATTGCACCCGACTGTAATCATCGGGACCAATGATAGGGGCGAAGAGTTTTTTTTCTATAAAACTGTTCCTCACTAACATTAAGGGCTGTCAAAGGGGCTATACTAATCAAGTATATTTTGTAGTGCTCATTTACTTGATAGAGGTGACGATCACAATAATTTACATATAGATAAACCTCTATATTATCAATCAGTGGGTTTGAGTCTGCATGGGATTGGAACAATTAAAAACAGTTTTCAGGCTACCCTAGAAATTACCGAAAGGCAGAATCCAACCTTATGATTGATGATGCTGAGAAAACTTGTGACTAGCCAAAGAAAACCCTTACTTGCTTGGATACTGAAGTCTTCGACTTTGGAGGTGTTGGGTATCCGGGTTTCACAGAAAGAACAGGCTTTTGCAATGTTAGCAGTTCGATGAAGTCAGAAGTACAGACACTGAAACTTCATTTGTTAGGCTTAGGGACGTCACCTACGCTGTTGGAGGAGCTATCCTGAACAACTTGAGATGTAGAATGCCTACTTGATGAGCATCCATCTGTAACACTCCTATCTTTCCTCTGTGATTGCTTGGCCTTTTTAACTGCAGAAGATGAATCCTGTAAAACCCCATTCAGTAAATTTTGCATCTTCTATGCATAAAGCATTTCTGCTGCTTTTATAACTTAAAAAGTTACAACTAACCTGTGGTGTTGAAGATCCTGGCATCTTAAGTTCAAGGTCTGTTGCCACATCGTTGGAGTCATCACACCTTTCGGCAGTGCTACCCCCTTGATGATCTGATGATCTGCTCCTGGAATCTTGCTTGCTTGAAAGGTGGGAGATGGATGCATACAGCGGTGATGGCTGTTGTACAGGAGGATTGGCAGGTGCTGGATACGGCACAAAAGTTGAACAGGGATTGGGCATAGCAGCAGGATTTTGAGCTTGAAAGTAAGGATACGACTGAAGTGATGGGTGCATGGGAATTGGGCCGGAAGGGACAGCCACAGGCATTGGATATGAGTAAGGTGGAGCCATAACAACAGAAGGATCCATGCCAGCCCATGGAAACATCACTCTCAGTCTCTGCTGATACTGAACGTTTAGATTTTCAATATCAGATTTTAAAGATGCCTTCTCCTCTCTTAGCTCGTTCTTCTCCTGCGTTAGCTGCTTGTAATAAACAAGAATTCCGATAACATTAGCATATAATCAGCCTCACAAGTTACAACCACAGGATAATACACATTAACAGTAACATCACCTCACCTCACGGGATTCATCAGTAAGTGCAGAACACTCGGCCTTTAGTTTGTTGACATCAGTGGTTAAATCCTTCAACATTTGAATTGTGTCGGTAAGGATGGTTGCCTTATCGTTCTTGGGCCTATCCGGATCTGCATTTCCAACATAACAAGGGCGTCCATGTTTGTTCAGAATTAGGGCACGTGCACCATGAACTAACTACATAGCGAATTAGCAAGACCGTTGATCAAAATATGTAATCCGAGTTCATGTCAAACTATCTAGCAAGATAACATTGCTTGTCTTCAAACACAAATTGCGATGTTTAAACACGCCATTCCCGGAAAATTATGACAGAAAGAATAGCAGAGAGCAGCAACTAAAATATACCTAATGTGTTGCCCAACTCAAAAAAATGCTCATTGAGTCGATCCCTCCTCAACTTTTCGCGGTCTGCTTTCTGAACTTTTCTGGCAACAATCGGGTCCTTCGTTTCTACATCAAGTCTTTGCCTGCCCACACAAAATCGAACCGTAAAGATCAAAACTTTAACTTCATCTGCTTCATACCCATCAATGATTTTTGTATTTTTTTTCCTAAATTATTCAATCAAACAATCATTCAATTGCTGAATTCAAACAAACCAATCAAATCTACAGAGAGAGAGAGAGAGGGGAACCTGGAATCGGAGTTGGAGTTGTGGGGGCGACCGCAGGGGAGAGGTTGAGTAGAAGAAGGAGCCGAAGCAGCTGAGAAATCGTCGGATTTCCAATGATCCATGATTTTGGGGTCAATTTTTGAGGCTAGGGTTTTGTTCTTCACTGCAAATTGAAGAAATTGGACTGCAAATTGAAGAAATTGGGGGAAGAAAGAGAGAGGAATCACAAAGATACAAAATTGAACACTAATATCAGCTTGCTTTCCACAGCAAAATCCACCACAGGGAGAAATGGATGCCACTCCGATTCGGATAAGGATTTTTTATTTTTTTTCCCCCTTTTTTTATTGAATTTTATATTTCTTATTAAAATTGTTTTAGAGTGAGATAACAAATATACCCTTGATGTTTGGACCTCTTTCACAAAATGACATCACTATTTAACTTTTTTTTGCGTTTCTACTCAAAGAATTAAACTAGTAACAATTGAAACCACTTTTGCCTCAACTCTTATAGGCCCTTTGTTCTCTATTTACGTACCACGTGTCAAACTAAAAAGTTACTTCGAAATGTTGAAATTCTTACGTTTTAAGTGACAAAGACTGATACATTTTGTTTCGTTAAGATATCTCGAAATTGATAATTTTATAAAGACTATTTTGTTGATTTTTCTCTTCAACTTGACATGTTTCTTCCATCTAGTTTTTCCCTTCACGTCATTTTAATGTCAATTTCTTCTAATTTTTGTTTATCTAAGTTGCGATAAAAATTAGCGACACGTTAGTGAATTTTTTTTTACACAAAACAAAAGTTGATGGAATGTGGATGAACATGACGGAAAAGTTATGGGTAAAAATTGGTAATTTAAAGTAATTGATTGAGGAAAATTGGCCAAATAAAATTTTAGGGGCCAAATCGACAATACGGTACAAGCTCGGAGGGAAATCGCTAAAATTACCACGGCTTTTCGGAACGACGTCGCATTAGACGTACCTCCGGTTTCTTTTACCTCCAAATTCTGAAAATTGCCGGTTAAGGGTTTCCAAACAGAAGAGAGGAAGAAGATGAAGATAGTGACGTACAACGTGAACGGTCTGCGGCCGCGCATTGCCCAGTTCGGCTCTCTGCTCAAATTGCTGAATTCATTGGGCGCCGACGTCATCTGCTTCCAGGAAACCAAGCTGCGACGGCAGGAATTGACCGCCGACTTGGTCATGGCGGAGGGCTACGAGTCCTTTTTCTCCTGCACCCGCACCTCCGAAAGAGGCCGCACCGGGTACTCCGGTAATTATTTGTTGAAATTCCTCAACCGCCCACACTACACTCTTCAAATTTTGCACCTTAGTTTCGAATTTTGATTGATTTTTTTTTTTTTTTTTTTTTGCGTAAAATGTGGTTCGGTGAAGGTGTGGAGACGTTTTGCCGGGTGAATTCGGCGTTCTCGAGTGACGAAGTGGCGTTGCCGGTGGTGGCCGAGGAAGGATTCACTGGGGTTCTTGACAGTGGGAAAGGAGAAATGAATGCGGTTGCGGAGGGGCTTGAGGAGTTTTCGAGAGATGAGCTACTGAAGGTTGATGGCGAGGGGCGTTGTGTTATCACGGATCATGGGCATTTTGGTACGTTTTGCCTTAGCTTCATGCTTTAAGTTCGAGTCTCTGTGATTTCGTTTTGTTGGAGAAAGTTTAAAGCTTTATGATGACAATGGGTGTGTAGTTCTCTTCAATTTGTATGGGCCTCGAGCGGGGGGTGATGATACGGAAAGGATCGAGTTTAAGTTAAAGTTTTTCAAGATCTTAGAGGTAACCAAAATGACCCGTTTAATCTTTTAAGTTGCCATTGTGTTCAGTTTCTTTTTTGTTTTTAGTATGCGAAAGTTAGAATTGTTATTCTCTTTGGGTTTTTTTCTTAATGTTGATTTTTGTTGTAGAAAAGGTGGGAGTCTCTCCTGCGTCAGGGGAGGCGGATATTTGTTGTTGGTGATCTTAACATTGCACCCACTTCATTAGACCGTTGTGATGCGCAACCAGATTTTGAGAACAACCAGTAAGATGCTTGCTTGATCTCTATGGAGTGGTTATCTGTGCATGTAATTTTATGCAAAGTTTCATAAGTGGGGTTCAGTACCTAATATATTGAGAAAATCTACCTTGTAGATTTAGAAGATGGTTTAGATCGATGTTGGTGGAAAATGGAGGCTCCTTCTTTGATGTTTTCAGGGCAAAGAATCCTGATAGGTAAAGCTTATACTCAATAGGAGTTCTAGACTTCTAGTATATTTTACTCGACCAACATCCGTTTGTTTTGTTTTTGTGCAAACTCGAGTTTTGATATCATTAGAGTTATATTTTGCCAGTGGTTACAGATGTATGTTGAGTGATTTGAAGTTATTATTGTACGATATATCCTTCATTATTTATACCGCTTTAGAGTTCGTGAGTACCCATTCAACTTCATGTTTTACTTTTGTGGTTTAATCACATCATCTTTGTCTGAGATCATTAGCTAAAAATGTTTTACTGTATAAAGTAAATTTCTGTCATATGTCAACGTACCATGTTTTCCTCTCTCTATCCTCTTTTCCTCTTTAACTGTCAGAATAACTAAATGACATCATTCTAATGTTTTGGGTCTCGCATTCATTGTTACTTGAAACTTGAAAGTGTTTGTCCATGTTTTGGTGTTACCTTGTCTGAATGTTGTGTTTTTTCTCCCGTACAGAAGAGAAGCATACACATGCTGGTCACAAAGTTCAGGTGCTGAAGAATTTAATTATGGCTCTAGAATCGACCACATTCTGTGTGCAGGGGTATGCTTACACCAAGAGCAGGACTTGCAAAGCCATAACTTTGTAACTTGCCATGTCAAGGAATGTGACATATTGACACAATTTAAACGGTGGAAACCTGGAAATTCACTGAGGTATAGGATACATAGATGCTTGCTTTTTGTGTGTGTGCAGCCCATGAATGGATGTCATCCTGTATTAATTTTGCTTTTGGGATTATGCAACAGTAGGTAATGTTGAAATGCATGCATGTGGTACATGTATGTAGGTGAAACATGTCTGTGGGTGTTAGGATGTTACTTTGACCGCTTTCCCTGCCCGCAGGTGGAAGGGAGGGCAGAACATCAAACTCGAAGGCTCTGATCATGCTCCAGTTTACACAAGTTTACTGGAAATTCCTAGTGTTTCCCAGCATAGCACCCCATCTTTATCTGCTAGATACATTCCAATGGTTCGAGGTCTCCAACAAACCATTGGTATGAAATTATAGTCTCCCTTTTGCTGATTATTTTAGATGTTTCTGTATAAACATTTTTGTGAAATGTGCAAGGACAGAAATGATAAACCCTTTATGCACACTTGAAAATTAGAGGAACTTGGTTCCTTGTTTCAACTTGTGTTTAGTTGTCTATTGAATTTGGTTATATAATAGCATTACTAATTGATCAAATATATTAAGGGTTTGTTGTGTAGCTTGTGTTTAACATGATTTGGGTTAGTGGAATATTGTATCTTCAACTGCTTTTAGATTGGGATAAGTTTGGAACTTTGGTGTTTATTTAGAAAATTGTATCTATGTAAATAGATGTTTAATATTTACGAGTCTCATAATAAAATAGAGAAAACAAAACTACTTGAATTAGATGTTTCTCACTTAATTACTAATATGTCGCAGTTTCATACTTCCCCATGTGGATGCTGTATGGTCTCTTACTCTCACTTCCATCATCTGTCAATTTAATCTAACCTGTTCTCTTGAAGCTACTTGTTCTCTATGCCTACTCAAAGTTGACTGAACCCTTTGTCCTGTGCAGTGTCGTTACTAATTAAAAGACAAGCTGCTGAACAAGTTACTACGGATGAAAATTTCATTAAAGAGAGTTCCACTGAGGGAGAAAGAATATCCCCTGACCAATGTTGCACACCCGGTGCACCTAGTGGCGACTCCTGTTCTTCGAGCCAAAACTCTGAAGTTCTATGTTCAAAAATATACGAGCATTCAAGCACTTTTGCTAATGAGGCCACTTGTAACACCTTGGTAACATTAGGTGGTGAACGTAAAAAAACAATGTGCAGCAATGAAGCTAAGAAAAAAGCAAAAAGGAGCTCCCAACTCTCATTGAGGTCATTTTTCCAGAAAAGTCCGATCACTAGCAACAGTGTGAGCAGCAGTAGTGTTATTTCTAGTAAGGGAAATTTTCCAGATTCTAATCATCTCTCAAATGAAACTCCAGTACCAGAAATCAAAGTGGCAGTCCCAAGCAGTGTGAACTGAACTCAAGTGCATCAATTCAGGATAGCGATGAAGTAGATGTCTACTCTTTGGACAAAGAGAAGAATAATTTTGCGTTATTGGAGTGGCAAAGGTTACAGCAAGTCATGCAGAATAGCATACCACTTTGCAAGCGTCATAGTGAACCTTGTGTTGCTCGGGTTGTGAGGAAGCGAGGTCCTAATTTTGGACGCAGATTTTATGTCTGTGCACGTGCTGAGGTATGTTTTTGTTAACTTTAATTTGAAAAAGTTTCTAATATACGATATTGGAGTAAGAGTAAAACTGAAAGAAAATGAAATAAAACTTTTGCATGTAATTAAGGAAAACAAAGGTTAAGCATGATTCGATATTATGATGTCTGCTGAAATTATGAATTCAAGTGTATGGCAGTGAAGTATGGACAAAGGACAAGTATCTATAAACGCATTGCTCCTTTCTTTCCATTATTTTGTACGTGTCAGATTCAATTGATGTTATAATAGTGGAAAACATCTGATGATTTTTTTGTAGTTCCATCAACCTTTTAACTAGTTTTCCTTCCATAGTTAGAACCTAGAACTTAGGATGAAAAAGTCATTGGGCATCTGACAGTTGCAAGCTTCATACGAACAACAGATATCACGAAGTTTATATGTGCTCGAGCTAAGTTTGCAGTTGATTAGAAAAGACGATGATATCCAAAATATGTATTTCGAATTCATACCTCCTGTATCTAATTGTCTACTCAAGAGTAATGTTTGTTTATGTGGAATAGCAGAAGGCAAGGTAGATGATATAGGAACTAACTAGTGGCATTCTTTTTGTTCTTCCCACAGGGACCTGCATCTAATCCTGAAGCAAATTGTAATTATTTCAAATGGGCTTCCTCAAAACCTCGACAGAAATGATGGTGGTGATCGGTCATGCCAGGTGATAATGGATGCCGTGCTGTTAGTTTCCGGCCTACTTATTGGGACGATGTAGTGCTGACCATCTCGGTATGGAAAATTTTGTAATTAAAATGATTCTTTTTGAAATATTGTCTCCGGCATAAGCTCCTTTGTTGTATTATGTAGCAGTATTTTCTTGTTAGTGAATTGATTGCAGTGTTACACGAAAGAAATTTGTTTCCAGAATATCAGAATTTTAGTTTCGGGCGCACGTGACGTGTATTTTTAGCTACACCCCCTCGAATTCTATTTTGATTTCACTTTACCCTTTGTAACTCAAAAGTCATCACTTTACTTCCTGAAATTCAAAAATCGTTTCACTTTGACTTGTGAACTCTCTCTTTTCCGTGAAATTTATAAGTCGCCTCTTGAAACACATGTGAGACTCAACACCCATTAAAACTATTCCACATATGTAATAATTTGATTATAGAGGACTCACTTGTTAGTTAGAACCCCCTTGGTTTCAGGGTGCACTTTCACTCTATTTTATTATATATTCAACAATCAGAGAATTTTAAGTTAAAAAAAAATTGAAGAGATGAAAAAAAATAAAAAAGAAATTGATTAGCTTGGCGCACCCAAATCAAACCTACATAAGAAATTAACAGATCTAAGGTAATGTGGGGCGAATTTTGAGCTTTATAGAGACGACTTTAGGTTTTAGGGGGCAACATTGGATCAAAATAAAGTTCCAAGGGGTAAAGTGGAGCGAACTATGAGTTTAAGGGAGTAAAGTGGTAACTTTTGAGTTATAAGGAGTAAAGTGAGATTAAAATTAAGTTCCAAGCAATGACTAAAATATCGATAATATCGGCGATATTATCGTTTTTCAGAGACACCGATATTTTCCCACGTATTCGTCTCATTATCGTCAAAATATCACGATAATATCGCGATATATTCGATATTATCAAAAAAGTCGTTGTAGCTCCGTCATCAGAAAGGCAGCCGAGGCTGCGTCGTCCCAGCTGCCCATATCTCTCTCTGCAATCCAGGCTCAGACCCAAGATCTGCGCCTCAACGACGCCGATTCCTCTGCCGTTGTCGAAGTCGCGGCGAAAGAGCTCTCAGAATGGATTGCAGTTGTAGATCCAGAACCTGTGGTCTGTCCCCACGGTGAAGCAGGCGTGGTCTTGGTTGAAGCAAACGTGGAACAGAGACGGAGGCGAGCGCGGCACCGGCGGGGTAGGCTCCGGAGGGAGGAGGATAATGGATGGTTGTGGAGGTTGAGGTTGGGGTTTGGGGGCGATTGGGGGTCGTGGTGGTCGTCGTTGGAGTCAACGACAGAGGTGGGGTTGTTGTCGGTGGGATCGGTGAGGAAGGCGGAGAAGGATCAAGAGAACTCGCCAGAGAGTTCCTGGGTTCGCCGACGAGGCGGAAGAAGCAGACGAGGAGGAAGGCGAGGGAGGTGGAGAAGGCCATGTGGGAGAAGGGAGAGGGAGAAGAGAAAAGGATCCAGAGACGACTGATGTCTCTGTGTGCGTGTGTTGTTGTGCGTGTGTGGTGTGCGTGTGTGATCCCTGTGTGTGTGTGTGTCGGTGGCGCGTGTGTGTGTGTAGGTGGTGTGTGACGGTGTGAGAAAAGAAAAGCATCTAAATAATTCAACTTTTACAGCTTTTAGGAATGATACAATTTTCTACACTCACAATGTTTGCCAGCTCATTATATAATCAACTTGATAATGTTAAATCCATCATGCAATGCATTTCCTTCCAATTTTTTATGATAAACTAATAGATAATTAACTAAATAAACATCCTGCAAAGTTTCAATAAAAATTTCCAAGTTTTTCTTACAATTTTCGTGGTTTCCATATTATTTTTATCGATATCGATGTTATCCCGATATTTCTATCGATATTTCCGTGTTTTCGGACTACCGATATTTCCGATATCATCGATATTTAATACCTTGGTTCCAAAAAGAATGGCTAAAAATAAGCCATATATAAATGAGAAGGTAAGGAGGAGAAACCAAATGGGGAAGAAGGCTAGCATTTTTCAAAAGATTAATTATGCGTTGCCTCAGTATGTCATGTATCATTGCACTATTCCTTCTTATTTGTCGATAAGAGGGAAGAAAGATCAAATTTGCTAGTTTCTTGTGTTTTTATATTCAATCAGGAGGAGCAGAGATTTGAGTTTGATGTTTCTTCCAACATCTAGAAAGAAAGGTATCACTAGACTCAACACGCATATTAAACGTCGAAATCAACCTCATAAACGAATCATTGCAACCCCATACAATAAAAAATTATTAAACTTCCTCCAATAAAAATTGAAGTTTGATTTCAATTTTTAGTTTTAGACTTCCTCCAACAAAGATTTGAGTTTGATATTCTGATGTTTCTAGAATATTAGAATTTTAGTTTTAGACATATGTGGTATAATTCAAAAGTCATCAATTTACTCTTTAAAACACAAAATTCGTTCCTATAACTCATAAGTCAGTTTGATTTCACTTTGTCCCTAGAACTTCATTTTGATTTCAACCATCCTTGTAACTCAATAGTTACTTTATTCTTTGAGACTCTAAATTTGTTCCACTTTGACTTGTGGACTCTCTTTTCTCTATAAAACTTATAGGTCGCCTCTTGAAACATGTGAGACTTAACACCCAATAAGAATATGTCACATGTGCAATAAATTTGACTATAAATCTCCATTACACCTTAACATTTAACAATCAGATAATATTAAGTTTAAAAGAAGCTGAAGAGATGAAAAAAATAAAAATAAAACTAATTAGCCTAGCGCACCCAAATTAAACCTAGATAAGAAATTAACTGATCTAAGACAATGTGGAGTGAATTTTGAGTTTTATAAAGACAATTTTCAAGTTTGAGGGGGCAACATAAGATCAAAATTGAGTTCCAAGGGGCAAAATTGAGCGAACATTGAGTTTAAGGGAGCAAAGTGGTGACTTTTTAAGTTATAAGGAGCAAAGTGAGAATAAAATTGAGTTAGCTAAAAATAAGCCGTATATAGAAGGTAAAGAGGAGAAATCAAATGGAGGAGATAGCTAGCATTTTTCAAAAGATTAATTATGCATTGCCTCAGTATGTCATGTATTATTGTACTATTCCTTCTTATTTGTCGATAAGAAGGAAGAAAGATCAAATATGTTAGTTTCTTGTGTTTTTATAATCAACCATGAGCAGAGATTCGAGTTTAATGTTTCTTCCAACGTTTAGAAGAAAAGTATCACTAGACTCAAGACGCGTATTAAACGTCGAAATCAACATCACAAACGAATCATTGCAACCCCCATACAATAAAAAATTATTAAACTTCCTCCAACAAAAATTGATTGGGGGGTAAATCAACAAAGTCCAATGATCGTGATCGATAACAAATTATGACCTTAGAAGATAATGATATGATAATTCAAAACACATCAGCATGAATTATGATCAAACCCTAAACCCCAAAGATATGTTTTAGATCACTGTCAAGGATCACAGGACTAATTTCTAAGGGCATGCAATAGTTGAATGAGAAGGTTTTTTCTGGCCACAAGAAGTATTGATGTCCTTCTCAAATGATGGCATAAGGGATAGGGATTCCCAAATTGGCTTGAACTTTCAAGGTTTTGGAGTTATCAGGAGAAGAAGAAATATTATTGGATAATTGGAAATTGGATAGGGATATATGCAACTCAATCTTAATTTAATAGGAAAACTAATGAAAATAACTTGAAAACTTTGAGTTTTAACGATAATGACAAAATAAAGAGTAAAGTAAATAGTACTAGGATTGACTTTTTAGTGTAAAAATATGGTTTTTCGTTAAAATGAACAGTACCAATAACTTTTCGTTAAAATTCCCTAATTTAATTGGACCTTAAAAATTTTAGGTACTCGGTTTGGCCATCATGTTGATTTAATTATTGATTTAATTAAGATCTAATTAAGGTCTAGGCCCCATGGGCAGGTTCAACACCCATCAGTTTAGTTTTTTTAATTATTGTTTTTATATAGTATCAAACTATTATTTATGTAAAAAAAAAAAAAAAAAAAAAACTTTGGCAATCTAGATTTTGGACATTATTCCACTTTATTCTTCGAAACTTTGGTTTGGTTTTGGGCCCCTATTAATTGGCAGAATTAACGAAGGGTGTGTGTGTGGATGAGTGTGGGGAGATGTGACACTCATTGAAACTTTTGGCAGGCTAAGAAAGTTCAAAGGATAAGGGGAAAGACGAGGGCTATAATTCATGTGACAGCTAAACTTTTTCCTATATATTTTCGGATGAAAGCAAAGGAGGACATGTGACTCGTACTGATTTGATTTAGCGTGTAACTTTGTTATTGGTTTGTTGTACCGGATGTATGATAATCTGGCAAAATCGTTGAACATATCAATGTCCCATATTCAATGAGAATAACTCATCTACATTCATCAGAACACTGTTGTGGTATCTTGAGCAAATAACACAGCGTCACATGTTTAAGTTTTTCACATAACATCAAATAATTGATTTAAAACGTCGCCTTAACATTTCTGTTATGTAAGTCAGTGTATTCAGTTCCTCATCGCAACCAGTTGTACACAACTTTATCCACAATTTGGAGAAGGGGTCATTATACTCTTTTTTGGATACCATACACTTGGCCCTTGGACTTATGACATAGATATTTTAGGGTTCATGTATGTAGACCGTATACTCAAGCTTGAGACAAGCAAAACAACAGACAATTTGGTCAAGTGGCTCTTCCTAGCAAAAAAGCTACCAAAATTCACATCACTTTTTATTACCTTTGAAATTTATATGGGGTGGGAGGAGCTGCTGAGGCAACTAGCTAGTAAATCTACATGAAAGGTTCTAGATCCTGTGTTGACCGAAATACTCAAAGCCATTTGTAAATGGATTTGGCCTCTTAATTTGTTGATTGCAGCTAGCATTTATCCATTATTCTATGGTTTTGTTTTTGCCACTCAATTACAGCTAATATATGCGAGTGACGGATTACTCTGGTCATTAGAGTTTTTCTCTTTAACTCTCGTGATTCGGGTTTAAAATCCTCTTTTTTTTTCACTTTTAGTGTAGAATAATGCTTGTATTAAAAAAGATAATTAATATATCTAACTAAATTTAACTCCATTGTGTGTCAAACCTTAATTTTCAATTAGGATAATGCTAGGGAGACCAAATTTTAAAATCAAATTTGCAAACCAAATGTCATGGTAGTTTATGATCGAATTATTACTTAAGTGTTGATTAACGTGCTTATTTCCTATTAGTGACACATCATTTCGTTTGCAAATTTAGTCCCTCAAGCATTAGTCATATGCATAGAATTATGACCCAATTGTAAGGGCAA